CTGTCCCCCTCTCTCTGGGTCCCTGTCCCCTCTCTCTGGGTCTCTGTCCCCCTCTTTCTGGGTCTCTGTCCCCCTCTCTCTGGGTCTCTGTCTCTCTCTCTCTGGGTCTCTGTCCCCCTCTCTCTGGGTCTCTGTCCCCCTCTCTCTGGGTCCCTGTGACCTTTCTCTGGGGCTCTGCTGCCCTCTCTCTGGGGCTCTGCTCCCCTCCACCTGGGTCTCTGTGCCTTGGTCCCTACCTTGAGCTTGGATTGGATTTCCCTCGATTTCCTTCGGGCCAAAACCTGGATGTGACTAGAGACCTGGAGGGAGTGACAAAGAAGCAGATTCAAGCCACAGCCACTCGCCCCTTGAGTCTCCTACCCCCTCCCTCCCTCTGGGTGCCCCACAGAGCTGCTGGAACATGCAAGATCACAAACACACAGAACACGCTAGCTGTCTCAGGAGCAGGCTAACACAGACGTGTCCATAAAGGCTATCCTTTTCTCACCAACACTACTGCTCTTCCCCAGGCCCAGCAAATCCGGGTCTCCTTTCCCTTCTACATCCTTCTCTTTGGCTCTTTCGGTCTCTCGATCTTACTCTCTGGTTCCAAGACACGGCTAAGAGAACTGTACCAGAATTGGCACAGTTTGAGCATACTAACAGAGGAGCCAGAAGACAGACAAAAGCACATGGAGCAGATCCTCCTTGAACCTGAACTTGCCCATACTAGGATGGCCCTGAGAAGCCAAGCCCGCCCCAGACAGAGCCCACAAGTCAGTCCAGAGACCTGTTTGCGAGTTCGGGTCTTCCCTGTTCTCAGCTTGATGTAGCGGGCAATCAGTTCATTCCGACCTGAAGAGTCAAAGACGGAACAGAGTTAGACCTTCAGCAGAACTTCCCAACAGAGAGGACATGAGAGAAGAAGAGAGAAGCAACAGTTCCCAGAGGTCTGCTGCAAGCCGGGCTGCAGGTCTCCTCAGCGGGACAGGAGTTATGACCGCAGGCTTTGGAGCCACACTGCCTGGGTTCAAATCCCAGCTCCCCCACAGACTAGCTTTGTGACCTTAGGCAAATCACTTAACCTTGCTATGCCTCAGTTTCCTCATCTGTGCAAATGGTGATGCTAGCTCCTACCAGAGTCATTGTGAGGATATAATGTGCTTTTAAGTTAACAGTGTTTAGGGCTCCATAAATGTTGGTCATTATTTTTATTAATCAATGGGGGCCAGGCCAAAAAAGAGGGGCGGACTCACCATACATCTTGCCTTCATCGGACAGGATGATTTTCCGCCGGCCGCAGGGCGGGTAGATGGCCAGGGCCTCCTGGAAGCTCTGCTCGATATCCGGACTCCAGACACCCTCTGCGTCCGGGCCCCCATCTCCCCCAGCCCCCTCGCTGCCACCGGTGCCCTCCTCACTTCCTTCCTCACTTCCTGTCCAGCCGCTGCCATCATCCAGGGGGGCCCCAGCCCGGGGTTCCCCCATCTGGGCCTGGAGGAACACAGAGGTCAGCAAGCCTCCCCGGACCCTCCCAGAGGGAACTCAGGGCTGGGAGGCCAGACTGCTGGGTCTGAGGGAGGAGGGGCTGGGGGCCAGGACTCCCGGGTCTGAGAGAGAAGGGGGATGGATTTGGGGGGAAGGTTAGGGTGAGAGTGTTCCCTCTGTGTTTCCAGGAGAGCCTGGGTTGTGATGAAGTCTTGAAGACCCCAGAGTAATGCTTAGGGCCCATGAGGGCCGAACCTTTGGTGTATGGATTTCTGACTTAAAGAAGACAGGAGTCAGGGCCTAGTTACAGGGAAGGGGGTTGTGAGTGAGATCTTCTCAGTCTCATCCCAAGAACAGGTGCTAGGATGTCAGCAGCAGCTGCTGGAAAAGAAGGAGGAGGGGCACAGGCCCTTGTAGGGCTGAAGGGGATCCAGAGAGAGGGGGACAGAGACTCAGAGAGAAGACAGAGTCCCAGAGAGAGGGGCAGCGACTCAGTGTGGGGGGTAGAGATCCACAGACAGGGAGACAGAGACTTAGTGTGGGGGCAGACCCAGAGAGAGAGGGACAGAGACCCAGAGAGAAGGGGACAGAGACCCAGAGAAAGGGGGACAGAGAGTCAGGGCAGAAACTCAAGCCGAGACCAGGAAAGACCCACACAACCACAGGCTGAGGGGCAGGGGCGCCCTGCCATCAGGAGAGCCAGAACAAAGGGCCCAGGCGTCCCCTCCCCCAGTTTCCCACAACCCCCATCAGGGGAGGGGCTGGGCAGCGAGGCCGCCTCCCCTCGGGCCCCAGGCCCCGCCCCTCCCTTCGCCTCCCCCTGCGTCGTGGGCTCGGATCCAACTCAAGTTCCCAGTGACTTTCCGGAGGCCGGGAACAGGGGAAAACTTTTTCCAATACAGTTAGATCCCGCCTCCCTGGCGGCTCCACGTCTGCCACAGTTTTCCCAGGACCCCAGAGTCCAGGCCCCATCCCCCTCCTCCCTGGGACCCTGGATCCCCGGCCGAGACAAAGACCCCAGGCCGAGCCCAGTGGCGCTGCGGCGTTCAGGACCCCCGTAGGCCAAAATGCCAGCCCAGCTCTCCCCCATGTGGCCAGACAAAGGGACGGAGAAGCCGGGTAAGAAAGGTCCCCCCAATTTCCCGCCCCAGGCCCCAAACTTCCTAAGAGACAAGACTGAAGATCCCAAAAGCACCGTAGCCCTCCCCCTGGCACCCCGGAGGCCTGCTTTCTCCATGAGGAGGACCAGGAACCCACAAATGACACACACACCGATTCGGTCAGAAACACGCACGGGGTCCTTTCTCACTTGAAACCGACACCGCCGCAGAAACTCACACCCCCCACACACACCCGCCAAGGTCTCCAGCCCTCACCCACCCCCGGGCGCACACTCCTAAACTCAGACCCATCCGCAGACACCCCAACTCCGGCGAAAGTTCCAACTCCACACTTAGACTAGTCTGAGCGCAAACTCGGGCCCGCCGGCAAAAAGAGGGCTGCAAGCAATTCAGAGTCGGTCCCACAAACACCTCAACTCAGAACGCGTAACTTCCCACCCCAACTCACCCACCCCAAAGCAGGATCCCCGACTCCCGCCGGCGCCTTCCTACCTCCCGGCCTGGGGCTGGGGAGCCGCGGGCGGGCGGGGCGCTGCGAGGGAGAAAGTTACCCGGGAGCTTTGTTTGGGAAAAGTGGGAGGGACCGGAGGGGGGGCGGGTCCAGGCGCCGGACAGCGGGAAGGGGGATCCGACGGTGACAGTTTGGGGGAAGATTTTTTTGCTTTGGCAAAGGAAAGGTGAAGTCTTGCTGGGTCCGGATTTGGGTGCTCGGATCCCTGGCAGAGGAGGAGGCTGGGAGTCTGGCCTCCTGGGTCTGAGGGAGGAGGCAGCTAAGGGCCGAGTTTCCTGGGTCTGGAGGAGGTGGGGCTGGGGGCCGGGACTCCTGGGTCTGGGGGAAGAGGAGTCTGGGGGCCTAGACCTCTGGCCACCCTCTAGTGTGTTGGGGATGTGGAAGTGATACACAAAAGAGTCTTTCCTGTTCAGCCCCAAGTATGTTTTTGAAGTTTGAGATATGGATATGCGTTTTGATTGATTTCTATGACAACGTAGTTTCCTTGTGACCTCACCAGACTTAAGAAGCGCGGGCAGGACGACCGGGACTTTATTGGAGGTCCATGGAGGTGCAGACTCCCGCATCCACACGCCCTAGTGGACTAGAGGTGGCGCTGTCCCAGGACCGGGGGAGAGCCTCGGTGTCTGAGGGGAGAGGGGCCTCGGGTGCGGACTGTTGGGTCCCTTAAAGATGAGAGGGTGGGTGTTCAAACTCACGGGACTATAGGGGGCTGGAGTCCGGACGCTGGGGTCCTAAGGGAGAAGGACTGGATTTAGGGTTTCCGGGGCTTTTTAGTGGAACCGAAGAGGGCTCCGGTTCAGCGTCCCTGCACAGTCCTCTGTTGAGTGCATTAATCGTGTCAAATCCTGGAGAAGACCAGAAGGGACACGGAGAAACTCTGAGATAAATACAAAACTAAGGAGTGGGTGAACCAGAAGGGCTGTTAGGACTCGAGCGTTTCAGGAGCAGAGGGAGCCTAGGAATGGCATTGAGAGCCCCGGGAGCAAGATCAGGGGCACAGGGGCGTGGCCTAGGTGCGGGGGGCGTGGCTATGAATCGAGGGGCGTGGCCATCTGCGATTGGACCGGGACTCCGGCGGGAGGGCCATGATCAGAGAATACAGGCACCGCTGGGTCTCCAGGGCCGAGGTCAACCGACAGGGGCGTGGTCCGAAGATGGGAGTGTGACCATGGAATGACCGCGCGGCGCTGGTTTAAGGGGCGTGGCTAACGAAGACTAGAGGCGTGGCTCTGCCCTAAGGGTGTGACCACCCAATAGAGGGCTCGTGGGTGAGGTCAGCAGATGGGGGCGTGGTCAGACAATAGGGGTGAGGCCGGGGCTCGCGGAGTTCATCCAACGCTCCAGGTGTCCGGCCTGGGCTCGAGACCAAAACTGTTTGGACTTAACAGTCCGTGGATGGCCGGAGTCTGAGAGTCCGGTGATCGGGCTGTGGTGTAGCGTAAAGGCGGGGCCCAGAAGAAGGGGCAGGGCGTGGGAGAAGGTGAGGAATGAGATCTGGGTATGATTGTGGGCAAATGAGAAGCGTGAGATCGGTGAATGAGGCCGGGCCCAGAAGAGCCTGGCCTGGGAAGAGCCGTGTCCCTTCAGGCCTGAGGCGATGGAGGGATGGGAGTGGAAGGAAAGGGGAGGGCGAAGATGGGCTTGGTGTGGGGGCGGAGCCTGGGCCAGGGATAGGAAAGGGGTAATTGTCTTGGGAGGGGGCTTGACTGCTGAGGGGGCGGGGCCTTGATAGGAGGCCTGGGATTTGACCCCTACCGGTGCCACAGCCTCCTGGCCAGCCCCGCAATGTGGCATCCGCTGGTCCTGCTGCTGCTGCTCCCCTCTGCCCCCGTGCCCCCCTCCACTGCAGCCCCCATCCGCGATGCTGACTCCCTGGAGAGCTCCTCGGGTTTTCTGGGCCTCCAGAGCCTTCTGCAAGGCTTCACCCGGCTTTTCCTGAAAGTGAGTGATGGCAGGGGCTGAGGGGAAGAAGAGGTACAGAGAAGAGGGACGGGAACAGACGGAGACTGAGGGATGGAGGGGTTCAGGGAGACAGACTGGGAGATCTGTCGCAGCCAGGAAAGACAGACAGGAAGAGAGGGAGTCAAAGGGACAGAGAGACAGGATAGGAAGAGAGGAAGGGAGACAGGCAGAGAGGGAGATGGAGCAGATGCAAAAGACTGGAGAGGGGGATGGGAACAGAGAGACAGTAGGACAGATGAGGGGCATGAATAGGAAGGTGATGGGACAGAGAATGGAGACAGGACAGATGGGGGCATGGGGGCAGGAGGTGACCTAGTCAGGCCCTAAGGGTCAGAGGACAGAGAGGGAAGGGAATGGGAGGGACATGGTGGGCCTCGAGGGCATCCTGGCAGGGCTGCAGATGTACTCGAGAGTCCTGAGGTCCAGCAGCTCACCGGTCCCTCCTCCGGCCCCAGGATGACCTGCTGCGGGGTGTGGACAGCTTCTTCTCTGCCCCCATGGACTTCCGGGGCCTCCCCAGGAACTACCACCAAGAGGAGAAACAGGATCGCCGGCTCGGGAACAACACTCTCTCCAGCCACCTCCAGATCGACAAGGTGCCTATGCCGGGAAGTCCCTCCTGGAGTCTCCCCATGATCCCTCATGCTGCAGTATCTGTTGGGAAGAGGTGAGAGGAGGAAAGTAGTTTGGCTCTCACTCTCTCCTCCCATCCTCACAGGTGACCGACAACAACACAGGAGAAGTGCTGATCTCCGAGAAGGTGGTAGCATCCATCAAACCGGCAGAGGGGATCTTGGAGGGTGACCTGAAGGTTAAGACATGCCCCCAAAGTGTCCAAGCCCCAACATTTTCTGTTGTTTAGGAGGAGGAGAAGATGCGTTGACTCTCCCTCTCCCTCTGTGTGAGACTTCCTCTCTCTGAGCTTCGGTGTTGTTGTTTTTTTTAAAGGGAAATTGGGATGTAATTTTATTTATTTTTATTTTTTATTTTTTTTGGTGAGGAAGATTGGCCCTGAGCTAAATCTGTGCCAATCTTCCTCCATTTTGTATGTGGGATGCCACCACAGCATGGCTTGATGAGCAGTGTGTAGGTCCACGCCCGGGATCCAAACCTGTGAACCCCAGGCCACAGAAGCAGAGCACACGAACTTAACCACTACGCCACTGGGCTGTGGGCCTCAGTTTTGTCATCTGTCAAAAGAGACTAACCAGCTCTCAGAAATGAGGTTTTCGACCTCAGCATACATCCCCACTTGCTTAGTAAACCTCAAAGGGTTTTGTGAATGCCAAAGTGTTTTGTAAACAAAGAAGTGCTTTTAATTCTGAGTGTTTGATAAGCTTCACCCTCCTAAACCTCAAAGTGTGTTTTTATCTCAAAGTACTCTGCAAACCTCAGACTATCTTTTAATCTATCCCAAAGTACTTGGTAAGTCTCTCCCCTGTATACTTCAAAGTGTGATTTTTAGTTCCAAACCCTTTATGAACCCCAAATGCTTGTGTAGCTCCCCTTCATAAACCTCTGAGTGATTCTAACCACAAAGTGCTTATTTTTTTATCCTAAAAAGTTTCAAGAAGCCCTGAGTGTTTGGCAAACCCATATGGTGCTCCCACACACACACAGTTTTTTATTTTAAAAATTTCAAATCTACAGAAAAGTTGGGAAAATAGTACAATAAATATATCTGTATTCCCTTGTCCGCAGAGCAGGGTTTCTTGACCTTGGCACCAGTGGCCATTGGGGCTGGATCGTCTTTTGCTGGGGGGCTGTCCTGTGCACCGTAGGATGGTTAGCAGCTCCCTGCCTCCACCCACTAGACGGAAGTAGCACCCCCACCTCCACCAGTCATGACGACAGAAACTGTCTCCAGACTTCCGTTGAGAACCACTGACCTAGATACACCACATAACATTTTACCACGTTTACTTTATTTTTACTCTTTCATTTTTGAACCATATGACAGTCAATTATTGACATCATGACACTTTAGCCCTAAATCCTTCTGCAGATATCTCCTAAGAATAATGAATACATTCTCCCACATGACCACACCCAAGAAATTTACCGTTGGTGGCAAACTGTTGTCTCCGGATTAGTTTTCGAGGCCTGCCGTAACAAAGCTCCACAGATGGGGTGACTTAAATAACAGACATTTATTGTCTCAGAGTTCTGGAAGCTAGATGTCCAAGATCAAGGTGTTAATAGGTTGGTTCCTTCTGAGGCTGTGAGGGAGACTCTGTTCCAGGCCTCTCTCCTACCTTCTGGTGGTTTGCTGACAATCTTTGGCGTTGCTTGGCTTGCAGATACATCATCCCCAGCTCTGCCTTCAGCTTCACATGACATTCTCCCTATGTGCATTTCTATGTCCAAATGTCCCCTTTGCATAAGGACACCAGCCACATTGGATTAGGGCCCCCCCTAATGGCCTCATCTTAACTAATTCAATCTGCAATGGCCCAATTTCCAGATAAGATCACATTCTGAGGTACTGCCAGTTAGGACTTCAGCATATGATTTGGGGGGGACACAATTCAACCCATAACAATGTCCTACAGGGCATCTCCACCTTAACTTATTAAAATGTGGGCTCTGATTCCGTAGGTCTGGGGAAGGGTGGAGTCTGCTAATTTGCATGTCTAACAAGCTCTCAGATGATGCTGGCTCCGCTGGCCCACAGCCCACACTTTGAGAAGCAAGGACCAAATAAACATTCAGTCTATATTCAAATGTCCCCTCTGGCCCCAAAGCTGTCCGTGGGAGCTGATTTGATTTTTGATCCAGGATGCAATCAAAGATTACACATTGCAATTGTGGTTATGATCCTTTAGTAAAGCCAAGAGCTTTTAATCCTGAAGTCCTTTGTACATTTCAAACTGCTTTCTAAAGCTCAAGGTGGGGCCGGCCCCGTGGCTTAGCGGTTAAATGCGCGCACTCCGCTGCTGGCGGCTGGGGTTCGGATCCCAGGGCACGCCCCGATGCACCGCTTTGTCCGGCCATGCTGAGGCCGCGTCCCACATACAGCAGCTAGAAGGATGTGCAGCTATGATATACAACTATCTACTGGGGTTTTGGGGAGAGAAAGGGAATAAAAGGAGGAGGATTGGCAATAGATGTTAGCTCAGGGCCAGTCTTCCTCAGCAAAAAAAAAAAAAAAAAGAGTTACAGCTCAAGGTATGTTTAATCCTAACGTGCTGTTGAAACCTCCAAAATGTGTTTTCAATCCCAGAGTATTCCATAAACCTGAATATTTTTAATTTTAAAGCACTTGTAAACCCAAGTGCTTTGTAAACTGCAAAGTGAGCTTTTAACTCCCTAAGTGAAGTGCCCTGTAGGTGGCAAAGTGGGTTGAACAGGCCAGGCAGGACCGAGCATCTTGAGGTTGTCGTGTGGAGTTTGAGAGGGTCTCCTTGTCCCTTCTCCCCAGGCACACAAGATAGAGGAGAAGGAGGCCGTGGTGCCTGTCCCGAAGGCCCTGGACACCTTCCGCCAGGAACCCCGTCCCCGAGTGGCCTTCTGGATCCTGAAGCTGCCACGGCGGAGGTCCCGTCAGGATGCCCAGGAGGGCAGCCGCTGGCTCAGCGAGAAGCGACACCGTTTGCAGGCCATCCGGGATGGGCTCCGCGAGGGGACCCGGGAGGACGGCCCGGAAGAGGGGACCCAGAGTTCCTCCCACTTCAAGCTGCCCCCTCGCAAGACCCACTTCCTGTACATCCTCAGGCCCTCCCAGCAGCTATAGGGGTAGGGGCCGGGGAACACCTGCATGCACCCCCCGCAACAGACCCCACCCCAAGCACCATATGGAAATAAAGTTTTTTTCTTACATCTATCAGCACTATCTCCTTTTGGGATCTGTCCCCAAGCCTCAGCCGACCAGGCCATGCGAGTCCCCCCGACCCTAGCCTTGAGCGTGACATCTGGCTGCACTGCCAGCTCTTGCCAACGACTCCCGGCTTGGTTTCCTCATTCAGACGTTGTCTGTCTTGATTCAGCAACTATGCCACCTCCAGCCCCATCCATCCGCTCAGTTCCCCACCCTGTCTGCCCTCCCGCTCCCAACTCTCGCTCCAGTCCTGTCTGTCCACTCAGCCCCTGCATTAGTTTCCTATTACAGCCACAACAGATGACCACAAATGTAGCGACTTAAAAACAATGCAAATGTGTTCCCTCGCTGATCTCTGGGTCAGAAATCCGAGATGGCTTGGCTGGTCCTCTGCACAGCGTCTCATAAGGCCAAAATCAAGGTGTCGGCCAGCTAGGCTCATACCAGTAGGTTCTGGGAAGAATCTCAAGGTCATTCAGGTTGTTGGCACAATCGCGCCCCTGTGGACTGAGGTCCTGATTCCTCAGTGGCTGTCACCTGATGGCCACCCGCCCTTGGCTCCTAGCTGCTGCTCTCTGGTTCTTGTATGTGGAACCCACGCCTCAGATCTCACACTTGGAATCTCTCTGACTTGTCCTGCCCCCTGTCCATTGTGGCTTCCTCTTCTTCCTCCAGTGGGAGACAGCTGTCTGCCTTTGAAGGCTCATGGGATCAGATTGGGCCCACCTGGACAACATATTTCACAGCTTCCAGGAATTAGGGGGTGGTCATATTTGGGGGGCCATTATTCTGCCTACCACGGGTCCAGACCCTGTCACCTCCAGCCCCCAACTCTGCATCTCCAGACCCATCCCTGTTCTTCACTCATCTTTATCTTCTCATTCCCTGACTCTCAACTTAGTGTTGACTCCATCTCCAACTTGCTCTGTTTCTCTTTCCCTTTGTCCCTTTGTCTGTCCCTCCATACCCATCACCTGTGATTCCATCTCTGTCAGCCAGGCCTGATGCCTCAGCCAAACCTGAAAGTTCACAGACCCTGTCTTCGGTGCCCTGTCCCCTTTGTCCCCATCCTCAGAGCATCTCCTGTTCCCTCCGAGACTCCTCCCTCAAGACCCACCATCGAGAAGGCACATCAGGGTCCTCTTGATGCTGAATCCCGTAGCGAGTGCAGACACGACTTTCTCTCTTGAAGCCAGGGCTCAGCGTTGGATCACCCCCCAAACAGACCCGGTCCATTCAGGAATCTAGCAACGCACGGGTGTAAATAAAAGTGAACTTTCTTTTGAAAAAATTTAGATTTTTGATCATTCCAAAAGGGCATCAATACGGTCCTCATGGACCATATCAGAACTGGGGGGTAGGGCTTCAACATACAAGTTTTGGGAGAACACACCTCAGCTCATAACAGTAAGTATTTCTTGCAAAATGTGTGAATTCCTTTTTATGCAAGTATTTTAATTTTATTTATTTATTTATTTTTTCCCCCAAAGCCCCAGTAGATAGTTGTATGTCACAGCTGCACATCCTTCTAGTTGCTGTATGTGGGACGCCGCCTCAGCATGGCCAGAGAAGCGGTGCGTCGGTGCGCGCCCGGGATCCGAACCCCGGCCGCCAGCAGCGGAGCGCGCGCACTTAACCGCTAAGCCACGGGGCCGGCCCTATGCAAGTATTTTAAATTTATGTCAGTGGTATTACATATTTCATTCTGATGGGGCTTTTTTTCCCAGCACCATCTGTAAGACCCATCCATGTTGCATTGGTACATCCAATCCATCGAATAAGACTCTACAGTCAACCTTCACCACATGTAACCTCTCCATCCTCTCAGTGATGCACAGCTGAGTTGCCTCTGATTTCCCACCACTACAAATAATGCTACAATAAACACCAGTGTGTATGTCCCCTTATGGCCCAAAAGGAGGGGGAGGAGGGATTTGGGGGGCCACAAAGAGGCAAATAATTTCTGGGTTGTAGGGGATGCCTCCACCTACTTTGATTAGATAGAATGTCCTGACACGTCTACTCCCTCTAGCAGTCCACAAGGATCCCATAAACCTTAACCACCCCTGGCATCTGGGGTCACTTTGTGTTGTGTCACCTTAGCTAAGCCGAAGCTATATTTCCCGAAATTCCTCTCCCTGCGTGGTTCTGATTTAGCGTTGGCCGCAGGGGAAATTTGCGTTAAAATTCTGAAGGCTGAAGGGAAGAAGCAGCCATGCTCACTCTTGGGGGCTCAGCGAGGAGTCGGGTGATGCCGCACCTCAAGCAAGTCGTCACGGATGTGCTAGTCCACCTTACCGGCCAAGGCGGGCAGCAGCGGGACCCACGGCTCTCCCCGTTCCCACCAGACCGCCTCTGGCTCCTTGAAATCCTGAGCCCGTTCCGTGTACAGCTCCGTGGCAAAGTGTGCCAGCCTTTCTGCAGGTCGCCGGCGCGGTGGAAGCGGGAGGCTTGCAGGCAGTGAGAGACTGACACAAGTTAGAGTTCATCACCACGAGTTCCAGCTCACGCTCAGGGTTCCAGTCTGTTCTTGAGCTCTCCAACTTCATGTCCATCCTCTCTTCCCAGCGGCTGGCCTGGCACCAGACACAGGGGCAATAGACTCACATAGACCTATTCCACCAGCTCACAATTGCATGAGGTCTAATCCATATTATAAATCTATTCTAGCACCTCGAAAATATGTAAAGTGAAAGAGGCCAGTCACAAGGGACCACATGATGTATGATTCCATTTATATGTCCAGAGTAGGCAAATCTACAGAGACAGCTGGGGGGATGCTAGGATTGAAGTAGCGTAAAGGCTAAAGGGTGTGGGGTTTCTTTTTGGAGCAATGAAAATATTCTAAAATTAATGGTGGTGATGGTTGTCCAACTCTGTGAATATACTGAAAACCATTGAATTATACACTTTAAATGGTGAATTGTGTGGTGTATGGACTATAACTCAACGAAGCTGGCTGTTAAAATTAATTAATTCCAAAATACCACTCATAACGACCCGTTTCTCTGATCAAACCCTAAACGATGTAGCATTATCCAGCCTGTTGCTGTTTGCCAATCTAAGAAGGGTAGTTTCTTGTTGCTTTCATTGGGCTCTCTCTGGTTACTCATCTCTTGAGTTCCTTATCACATATTTCTCAATCTTTTGAATTTCCTCTTCTGTAAATTGCTTGTTTTTCTGTAAATCCTTTCCCATTTTTCTTTTGGAGTTGCTATCTTCTTCTTTTCCATTTGGAGGAGTTCTTTCAATAGTCTAGTTTTTCATCCCTTGTCAACTTTAGACATTAAAAATATCTTCTCCCAGTTCATCATCTCTTATTATCTTGGCCCGTGGGGTCCTTCACTGAACTGAATCCTTCATTTTGATGTAATAAAACTAATTTTTTTGACTTATGGTTCATCCCTTTGAGATTTTTAAAAAGATGTCCTAGGGCCGGCCCCGTGGCTTAGCGGTTAAGTGCGCGCGCTCCACTGCTGGCGGCCCAGGTTCAGATCCCGGGCGCGCACTGACACACCGCTTCTCCGGCCATGCTGAGGCCGCATCCCACATACAGCAACTAGAGGGATGTGCAACTATGACATACAACTATCTACTGGGGCTTTGGGGG